TTAGTCTGTTTATCAATTTCTTACCCATCATACCTTTCAGAGTAGAATTCTTAGTGGTATTTTGTTGTGTTTGCTTCAAAATACCACTCCTAGTGGGCGTGTCGCCACGTGCTGCTCGCGCATTCTCTAGAACAGAAGTTTCCTTGCGCCACTGGGACAGCCTTGCCTCGACAGCCAGTGAACTCCTGACATAGCGCTGTGGATAGCTCAGGTAGCTAATTGTCATGTTCTTCCTCTTSGAAGGCTTCTCAGGCGAGCTGCAATCACACGAAACCTCAGAATCCAGGTCAATATCCTTGCGAGATCTTCGYGCTGAYTTGGCTCTTTTTACAAGTCGTTTTGTCTTTGCAGTGGATGGACTTAACACGTTTAGTGTYGCTGTTCCAACAAAGCTTGACGTTCTCAAGTCAGGGATGTTTGTACTTGAGCCTGTGACAATGTTTTCTGTATTAGGTTCTTGTTCGGTTAAGCCTTCCTCTTCGTCTTCMTCGTCGTCGGTGCTATCTTTGCTCTCAAGCGTTGGTGATTCTCCTTTCTCGATGCCGCTGTCTTTTCCTTCGGCGTCGGAATAGCTTTCAGATTTACAAATGTCTRACTTTGATTCTTCTTCGGATTCAACGAAAGATTCTGTAGAGCTTTCTGATTCCTCAACACTATAAAGGGTATTATATGAAAAAATAAGGAAATTTGGACGTATCCGACGTATATGGTAATGTATTCCATATTAGACTTTGCGGTCCGTGCTTAAAATWAAAAARGCGGGAAAATTGTCAAATGGTTTACCTGTCTTTTTCATCATCTTTTTTCTCATTTTCTTCTTCGCTTTGGATTTCAATTTCTTCAGATTCTTTTTCATTTATTTCTTCATCGTTCTCAACTTCATTCTGCCCCTGCTCGGCATCGTTTGTGTTGGATAGCACCTCTCGCTTCTCTATCTCTTCGATAACAAGTTTGTTGTCAACTTCYTCAAATGAAACTTTGTCCTAAAGAACAGGAGWTTTATTCGTGTTATTGAAATTGCACTATATGGTATTCAGTGAACGTTGTTTAGTATAYGGTGAGGTATTTTTGAAAGGATAAGGKTTCATATAGTAAAATGATAAATATTCTCGTAATTCYCTTTCTTTAAGGGTTYTYGTGTTGCGTTTTAAGAAGYCCTTACCTGTTTTATAACTTCTTKTTCATTGTTGTTGCTGTTGTTTATGTGGTTTTTCTCTTCAATTGGATCAGTTTTTACTTCCTCGTTCTTATCAATTTTCGGTGCGCGAAAAGCAAGTAGTCGGCGAAACATGATTCTGCGAATGGCACTCTCAAGATCAGAGCTTACTGAAAACACAATGAAWATATATTAACGGTGTATTGAAGAGCGGAATTCTGTAGCCGCAGTCAGCATGCACTCATTTGCACAATTTGGCAAGTATAATCTCTGCGTTTGAAAGTCAGTATTATTTACCAGGTAAGTCTTAACTCTAAAAGAGTAAATATAGTAATAATATGTATGTTGTTGTTCTTTAGAAAAAAAAGTCTACTCATTAGATAAAATTAAACTTGCTGCTCTGCTGCTAATACGCATGCGTAATGGATATATACTGATATAGATGTACTGCGCATACTCAGATATAGTCAATCAGTTTGTAGAGAATATCCCATAAGGCTTTGTATCTATGTATAAGATTCAATTAATTTTTCCTATTTGAGGGCGGTGCTCAGTCATATTTCATTCAAGAATCTTTGTTTCGTTGAATGTATAGATTATGCGTAGCAATAATATATCAATTATTGGGCTGTAATATTCTTTTTTCATTGGGATTCCTGTGTCAAGGGCGTTGGTCATATCTTTTCTTCGATATATAAATCCTTACATCAAACGCCGAATCTTTCATGTGCTTTTTAAACGTCCTTCCATCTGTTGTTTTTGCGAATATCGATATCATTTCAGAATTTGCTTTGACTGCCTTACGAAAGATAGGGCTGACTCGGTTCGTGTGAGACTCGACGTCTGGGCAGCTGAGAATTCTGGGACGTAGATTTTCTATTATAACATTATTTTATTTCTGCTCGTTTAATTACATTGAATTTAGCCATGTGATAGCCAGCGTTTGTCCATTATAATAAATTACAAGTAATTCTGGTGAATAGACCTTCCAATRCGACCTGTCAATCATTGACAAGCTGTCAATCACCTGCTGTTGATCTGAGTACCTGCACCACCAGAAAACTAATCATCAMCAGCAGGGCGTAATGTAAATAACAAAAAACTAATGTGAAAACTTCTTGTTCTCTTTACTTTCTTAGTTTTTTACAMTGTTTTTGTGGGTCTTTGAATACATAACGCTGCTAAAAGTGTGAATGAAATGGTACACTAGTTGTATACGAAGAAGGTAACGTTCATGGAGAGCACGGCGACAACTTCATCGATGAGTAAACACAAGTGTTTTCAGTGTTTCCTCAATGGTAAATGAACGGTTTTGTTAYCGGCTTTTACGGGTTTTAGAGTAAACATGCATTGGTAAATACACCAAGGAATGGACGATACAGAGTCAATAGTCGATGGAGCGGCACTATAATTTAATATCCTTAATAACCCCAATAATTAGAGCTGAACAAAAACTACTCGAAAATAATTACGCGTCACCAGAACCAGCCTCTATTCAAAATGATGTTCCCTTGGGCTTGAATTGTAGCATTTTTGGTATCAACCATGTTAACAAAGCTCAATGAAAAGATACTCACTCGAATAAAAAGCGCGCACAGATATAAAATGATTGATGGATTGAGAATTGAAGAGTTTCACCATTGTAGTCAACATGAGAACAGCATTGAGAATTTGGGTTTCAGTTCATAGAGCACAGTAAATGGGAAGTRGTTCTGTAAAAGTCCATTTTTCTAGAGTAGCTCAAAGAGCTTCAGTWGTGCATTAGAACTGAGATGCGCGACTACACAGTAATAGAAGTAATCTTAATTTCATAGTAATTTATATTGTGATAAAATAGCTAAGCACAATCGACAAACGCGGAAGTCAAGCGGAAGTGCATGAGAGCAAAAGGGAGAAGTTTGAATCATGGCATTTTTACAGTCGCTTCAAAGTAGCCTTATTTAAGATTCTTCCAGGATTGTTTTCCTGTTTTTTCTATTTATTTAAATGTTTCTTTTAGATGTGTTGCGCATTATTTCGTTCTTACCTCGTTTGGTGTGTGCATTCACTGGCTCTGCCTTCTGCATCTGAGGTAATTAACTCACTAGACAATTAATATATCAGATCTTTAAAAATTCATTAAACATAGAATTCAAAACAATACAAGCCTGGCACAAGATGKAGTTCCAGGGGGGTAATTTGTTTCAATGTAAAATTCTCGGTAAATTCTTATATTACTATAATGTGGATGAGTATCTTAAAGGGGTGGCTTTATGCCGGACTTAACCTGGGTGTCATGTTTTTGAGCTAATTTTCTTTAAAAATATCATGGATAATGTTGTTTGCTAGTTTAGGATGTGATGTAAACACCAATAGACCCCTTTCGACCTTAGGACACACCCAAGTCCCCTTAAGCTGACAATTAGATCATCGATTCTTCTGTAGCCATTTCATAAGCCTGACAAGGCTTTGGGATTAACAAGTAGCACTAGACGCTCTTAAGGGGTTAATAAAACTAGTTCAAAGACTCAAATAATTTTAATTCTAATGATGGAAAGACTGTAAAAGTACTTTCGTGATGTCCYTTGGGCGCGACTCCGTGACATGATCTATCGTATGTTTGCAATCTCTCAGGATTCCTGCAGTGTTTCTCGATAACAAGCAGAAAAATCTCACGGAAACAAAACTGGAATGATAGAAAACAAACAAATTAGCACATGTAATGAAATAATTTGCCTAGAAATTTTAGTATTGACTTTTAAAATACTTAAAAAGGCAATGCACAAAGCTACTAGACGTCCAAATTCATAGATTGATCACTTCCGTATGTTGATAAATTCATAAAATTATTCCATAGAGGTGMAACATTCACTTTTAATGCGATAATTATTTTGTTCGATATTGTACAGGTCTTATTTGTACATATACGCATCCCTTATATATGTATTCAATTACATTGTACAACCTTCCCTCAACGTACTCTTTTCGATAATCACATGCGTTTTTCAAGTGCAAGATTATTAGATATAAGTATTCATATTATTATTAAGTTCATGTTATAGTTCATGTTGAAAATGATTCGATCTTCAGCCACTCAGTTCATCAATTGCATTGTTCACTAACTTTTGCTGACTGATTTACAAATTAATAGCGCATGGTCCTTAGCAGTTAAGAGGCTGTCTCAGTAAAAACCACCCACTGATTTTTTTTTGAAAAATTATTTTTTCTCTAACTCTGGCTATTGAAAGACCTCACTGGGTTAGTGTCTGAAATGAAATTAGTTTGGTTCAAAAATCTATTTTGGCTTCGCCAGGAGCCGATAAAAATCTTAGCCTGCTTACGTCAGCAACAAGCTGTTTCCGATCAAAAATTTAGCATACATTCATAGCATTGTATATAATGTATCCCTCATGTTTTAGAAACATTTTTTATACCAAATTGTAGATAAATCTTTCTACTTTAACTAGGTGATAATCATTATTTCATCAAAGTAGCCGTTAGCAAGAAATTCGTCATACTGTGGGCCCTACTTAACACACATTCAGCGAGCGCTGAAAAATAAGCAAAATTATGAGCTTGAATTGCAAAAGTGGCACCTAACTACAAACTTTTAACTACACAATCAAAGAGTTCTATCCTTCCACGATACCAAAAGCGAATAACCTGTGTACGTTTTCAGTTTTTGCAAAGTTATGACCGTTTTTGTTTGTGTACTTCGGAGGAATTCTCGAATTGAAGTAGCGAATCAGTATGTCGTCGTATACGAGTTTATTTCAATTAATATTCCACTTACTTGCTCTTGTGTCCGCCTCTTTTCCTCCTAAGCTATGCAAGACCCTTTTCAGATATTCAGATCACAATAAATGGAATTTTGGTGAGAATTTCCATCGAAAACAACAATCGTATACCAGCGCAATCTGCTCCCGTGATCAGTAATATAGGCGCGACTTTTCCTGCAGTCGTGTTTGCTCTCTTCAGATTGTTCGAATACATTTTAGAGAATGTTCCACGATGTATTTGAGCCGGATCAATGTAAAAGAAAGTTGAATAAAGACGGATTAAAATTAAAGTAACAATCCCTTATCGTCGCTGAAATCAATTCTAGCATTTCGTGTTATTGCTGCTCTCGCAGAGGTTCGTGGAGTAGTAGGAAAGACCGCTGCGTTGAAAGTGCAGAGATTTTTTTTCTCGACCAAAAAAATAGGAAATAAAAATAGGAAAGAGGGATTAATGCTGAGAAGGAGAAAAAAAGAAAATGAGAATTTATTTAAGTGTCCAAGCTATATGATGTTTAGGAATTGACACCTTTAAACTTTAAGGGAAAATTTATTTGTGATAATAATGATGCACTTCACAATAAGAATCGCGTCATTTACATGAATACGACTTTATGGCATACGCATTTTAAAGAAAAACAGTGTTACAGCCGCGCTGAAGTCCCAAACCGCAGTATGGGGATACACCTGGAGTTAACCTCAGGTTGACATGGATTTTTACAGGGGTCAGGTGCCCCAAATTCTATTCTTTCATATTTTTTAATTACACTCCTGGAAACCCTTCTAGTATATCGGCCGGCAATAAAGCCTTCATCATCGTAGAGTACGGTTGCCTCGTGTACCATAGATTACAAAATTCAATCTAAAGAAAGGGTAACATAATTGAGCTCATTCTAAACCATATCCGAAAATAATATGAAACCTTACTAGAATACAAGAGAAAATAAACTAGAAGTAAAAAACCTAATTTTGACAATCGTCCAGGGTAATATCAACACAAAAAACAGGTGAGTAGAGTCCTTTACTCATATACGCACGTGCGTACTTGTGGCATGTTACAAGGGGCAATCAACATCTAATTTCACGTGCTTTAAAAAGAGGGGGGACAACGTCTAAAATTAACTAGAGCTTTAATTAAAAACTGAAAAATTAACGGTGTCAGATTCGAAAACTTCTCAAAACAAGCACGATTTGCAAGGAGGGGTAGTAATTAACTTTTTTGATTTATTGGCTCATTACTCATTGGCTCAATATTGCGCAGTCCCTTTGCCTTTGCTTGCTTTTTCCAATCAAGGCTTCATTATCACTAAGAGCCTCAAAATGCTGGACATCGCATTTCCATTAGTTATTATTTAAAAATTTCCTGGGGAGGATCCGCAGACCCCCTTAAAACTCCCGCCTTCGGCGTACGCTAGATGGATATTTCTACGATATTTTTCGCAAGCCCATGCCACATACTCTCTATCTGATCATGACATGGCGATATGTCAAAAAATCCCGCTCGATTTAAGGTGGCTTCCTACAGGCTTCCTGAGGTGGCTTCCTATGCAAAAATGTCATCCATGAAATATTTTGTCAATATTGTTATGCAATAGTTTGAAGTTAATGTTGATGTCTACCCCTTTTCTGGATCTCATCAATTTTTTGAGACATTTGGGAAAAAACAAATTTCGACAAAATGCAAATTCCGTTGCCTAGGTAACGTTAATAGAGCTAAATATCATGCCAAACAAAACGTTGGTCAATGGCTTAATACTATTCCAAACACGAGACAAATCGGTGCATAGTAAGGTTTTTCAAAAAGCGAATTTAAAATGAGAGGTATGGTCGAAAACAACTGTAGGAATCCACCTTCAGATCAACTCAAATTCCTTTAWCAAMAAATCATATGCAAAACGTGACAGGCATTCAGAAAATAACTAAACCACCTTTCTCCCTGGGATCAAATAAGCAGTTTTCGTTACCTTGATTCTACTCAAATAAAGCATAACATTCATTGTAACTTTGTATCAGCGGTTCGCCCCGATTATACGAACCTCTGCGAGAGCAGCAATAACACGAAATGCTAGAATTGATTTCAGTGACGACTAGGGTATTGTTACCTTAGTTTTAATCCGTCTTCGTTCAACTTTCTTTTACATTGATCTGGCTCAAATACGTCGTGGAGCATTCTCTAAAATGTATTCGAACAATCTGAAGAGAGCAAACACGACTGCAGGAAAAGTCGCGCCTATATTACTGATCACGGGAGCAGATTGCGCTGGTATACGATTGTTGTTTACGATGGAAATTCTCACCAAAATTCCATTTATTGTGATCTGAATATCTGAAAAGGGTCTTGCATAGCTTAGGAGGAAAAGAGGCGGACACAAGAGCAAGTAAGTGGAATATTAATTGAAATAAACTCGTATACGACGACATACTGATTCGCTACTTCAATTCGAGAATTCCTCCGAAGTACACAAACAAAAACGGTCATAACTTTGCAAAAACTGAAAACGTACACAGGTTATTCGCTTTTGGTATCGTGGAAGGATAGAACTCTTTGATTATGTAGTTAAAAGTTTGTAGTTAGGTGCCACTTTTGCAATTCAAGCTCGTAATTTTGCTTAATTTTCAGCGCTCGCTGAATGTGTGTTAAGTAGGGCCCACAGTATG